GACTCCCGCGCACCTGGGCGCCGACGAGCGAGCAGCCCGCGCGCTGAAGTGGAAGCAGCTCTGTGACGCCAAGTCAGTGTTGCTCCAGGCCGTCTCGCAGGCCGCCGCGCCGCCCGATGTTCCTAGCACAGGCGGCGACGGCCCTGCCGCCCGCGCCTACGCCCGGGCCAAGGCGGCAGGAAAGGGCGCCCGCAAGGGCAAGCTGGCTCCAGGGTCGACCATGGCCCTTCAGGCACTCGAAGAGGCGGTCTCCTCGCGGGTCGCCCTTGCGAGCGCCGAGCTGGCCCCTCGGGCTGCCCTCCCCGCCTCGGGCGCGCCTCTCCCGAGGGGCGGGGTTTCGTCTGCCCTCGCGACGCGGGCGGCTGAGGCGGATGCCACCCTCGTCTCCGCCGTGTCGCGCGGCCGCGTGGAGCTCGACGCACTCCGCACCGCGCGTGCCGACGCCACCAGGCGCACGGTGCAGGCTCCTGCACGCGGCGAAGGAGAGCGTGCCGTCGCTCGTGCCGAGCTCGCGGAAGGGATGGCCGATCGAGCCTACTTCCGACGCGTGCGCGAGGCCGCCAGTCGAGAGGCCGCGGGCTTGCCGCGCACTGCTCCCGTCCAGCTGGGTCGGGATTGGCGCAAAACCTTGCGCGCCGTCCTGCGCAACGCTGAGGTCTCGACGGGCCTCGCCATCGCAGAACGTGCCGCTCGTGCTGGGGACGCACCCGCGTCGTCCACTGGCCGCTCCCTGGCCGAGGTGGAGGCTGAGGACCCGCGCGCCTTGGCAAGGCCCGCCGACGACCCTGCGTCCAGCTTCAGCCGTCGTGAGCGGCGCGCGGTCCGCGCCCGCCTGGGCCCGCGGGATGAAGCGGTCGAGGACCAGCCAAACCGCGGTGGTCACGCGCCGCACTCCGCCTCGCGCACGGGCGCCGCGCGCACCAGGCGCGCCGCCAGGCAGCGGCGGGCTTCGATGGCGGCGCTCCCCGCCCCTGAGGGGGGGGCCGCCACGGCGCCTGGCCGCAGGGCGCGTCGCACGGCCAATGCGCGCCGCTGGGCAGGCGCGGCACGCCCCAGCTCCGCCGCGGGAGTGGGCTCCCCACCGCGGAGCCGCAGCCCTGCCCGCAGCCGTACGCGGTCTCCAAACCCGTATGGACCGACCGCACCTCTCCCTCGGGGGGCTGCTCGTCGCCTCCCGTCAACGGCCCGATCTCGCCCGAGGAGCCGTCGGAGCCGCCTGCGGGGGAGGCGTCGGAGGGCCCGCACACTCCTGACGGGTCCCCGCCCGCGAGCGTTCGCAGCCGCTCGAGAGCGGAGCCCGCGCGCGACGAGGACTCTCCGACGGAGCTCGAGGACGTCGTGCTGAGTGCCCTCGCAGACTCCTCGATGGACCTCGAACGCGTCGTGGCGGGCCTGAACCCCGAGGTCCTCCGCCGCCTGCAGGCGGCCTTCCCTCGCCGCTCGGGGGCCTCTCCGCCCGCCGCTCGCGCCTCGGTACGCAGTCGCTCTCGGGGCCGCGGCACGCGTGTAGGCTCCGAGACTCCGCGGCCCGTGCCCCCGCCGCCGCCGCCGCCCCCTCACCACTCTGGTGGGCGTGCGGCGTCGCGATCCCGCGCGTCGACCGCAGGCCAGGGGCTTATTCGGGCCGTCGCGCGCGGCTCCTCTCGCGCGCCTTCGCGTCAGGCGACGTCGCCTCGGCGTCGCGAGGTGCGCTCCCCTCGAGTCGCTCCGAAGCGGCGCCCGAGCCCCGCTACTGCGCAGCGGCCAGCCACGTCCCGCCATGGTGCGAGCTCGGGCGACGCCCCCGCAGGCAGCTCCCGCGCGGACTCCGCTGCTCAGGCCCCTCAGTCTTCGGTAGGCACGCGCTCCTCCAGCGATGCTGTTGCGGCCCCGCAGGGCGGAGGGCGCGCCGCCGAGGAAAGGGGGTCTTCGAGCGGCCCCGCGCCTGGCCGAGATTCAGGGCACGAGCTGCATCCCAGCGGCTCCAACAGCGGCGACGCTGGGAGCGCCGCGGCTGCAGCCTTCGCAGCGCGGCGCACGGCCTCCGCGGCCGTTGAGCAGCCCTTGCCTCCAGGGGCCGCCACCGCCCTAGCGTGGCGTCTCAACCTCGGCGGTGAGAAGGTCACAGTGGTGAGGTGGGACCCGCCTGGCAAGCTGCCTTCCAGAGCGCGGCGTCGTGGCTGAGGTCTTTCGCACCCGCAGGGGCCGCCGAGCCCGAGGGCAGAGATGACCTGCACTGCCTCCTGCAGGCCTTGCACGCCTATAAGCGCCTGTTTCAGTCAGGCGGCGCCGAGCCGATCGACGAAGCCTCGTGGTTGCATCCTTACGTGGCCGCCGTCGAGCCCGAGGCTATCCCCGCGGGCGCTGACCTCCAAGCCATGGGGGCGGGCGCCATCCGTGGCATCGGGCTCGGCTCAAAGATCGAGCACAGGAGTCGCGCGGGCAAGTTGGCCTGCCTTTTCGACCTTCTGTACCACGTGCAGGACGGTCACGGCGCCATCCCAGCAGCGCTGTGGGGATCTCATTCCCCTCCGTCCGAGATCCTCGACGCGTTCGCGGAGGTGGTGCCCGTTCCACATCATTCGGGCCTCACGTCCTCGGCAGCTCGTTCCGAGCTCGCCGAATCGGCCGCAGCTGCGCGCGCCGAGCCGCGCCCGCCCCTTGACTGGGCGACCCTCGAGGGAGGGGGCGCTCTGCCCGCCGAGATCGAAGCAGGGGCTCGCCGTGCTCACCGTAACATGGGCGGATCCTTCAGCTCGGCGCGGGCAATGCTGGCGGAGGCGTCGGGGTTCGAGACCGACGGGCGGGACACCCTCGTTCCGCCCTTCTACGCGTCCAGGAGCAGGAGGGCCGCCACGCTGATCAGCTCTCCCAGCCCTGGCCGCCCTGCGCTCATCCTGTGGTGCGTCTGCGGCCTCTGCATCTCTGGGACGTAGCGAAACAATGGAAGCTCGCGGAGCCGCCAAAGCTCCGCCCGCCCTTACCTCGCGCTCTGCTGCGCGCTATGGTCGGTCTCTGTTTCGCCTGGGACTGGCCTGTGATGGCGGCCTTGCTGCTCATGGGCTTTACGATGTTCCTCAGGCCTGGCGAGCTGCTGGCGTCACGCCGCTGTGACTTGTCGCTTCCTTGCGACCGCCTCGAAGTTGAAGGGGATGCTTTTCTTTCGATTCTTGTTCCAAAGACCAGGAGAACGTACCCGACGCTGCATGCTCGCTGCTCCGATCGGGGCACGGTGAAGATTCTGAATCAAGTGTTTGGGCGGTTGGCTTCCACCGATCCTCTCGCCCCTTTCGGTGCGAGCGGCTTCCGTACTCGTTGGAATCATTTGCTTTCGGCCCTGGGCGTCCCTCTTGCCAAAGCGGGTCAGGGGCTCAACCTGACGCCCGCATGTCTGCGGGGCTCTGGCGCAACAGACTTCTATATCGCTACGGAAGACGTCCCTCGCGTCTTCTGGCGAGGGCGTTGGCGTCAGGCTTCCAGTGCTGAGCGCTACCTGCAAGCCGCCGCCGCTTCCACAGTTCTTGCTGCGCTGCCCGTGCCCGCACGGGCGCGGATCCTGTTCTTCGCCACCGCCAGCGACCGCCTTGTCGCTTCATTTCTCCAAGTCGGCCCCGCCGCTTGGCCTGCCCTACTTGCGGCCGCCCGCCGAAACCTTGTCACTTCGCAAGGTCCTTGATCACGGGTATGGCTGCCTCGCCGTCGTCGGCGAGCAGGCGGTCTCCCCCGCCTGACGCGCGGC